TCAGAGTTAATTATGCCCTTCCAATCCCTGGATATATAAGAAGAAAAACAACAACAGGAAAATTGTCAGTGTTTTCATTTTTAATTGCTCATGAAACGAGGTGGGAGACTGGAGATAATGCAGTCTGCTGTGTTCTTCCCTAGTAGGCCAAGTGGTCTCCTTGGTAACACTGCAAGAGCCCCAGGCCAGGAGGTCTCGGAGATGCTGAGCCCTGGCCAAGACCTTGTCCCTTTAAGAGCTAAGGCCCTGCCTTGTTTGATGTATTTGTCTTGCTTATCTCCATCTGCTCAAGACATTGATTAAATTGAGCACAAGGAATAGAGATACCCATTGCTCTCTGTGGGGTAGCTCAGGGCCAACAGAAGTTTTATGGAACAGGAAAAAACAAATTTTGGTTCCTTTTATAATTTTAACACTACTCTCTAAAAACGCCTTTCCTATTGTAGAAATTGTGAGAGTACACATAATCTTTGCAGATGTTTGTTTTGGTCATAGAACTGCATGGAAGGACCAGTCCTGGCTCCATCTCATGCTTGTGATTCAGTGTCATTAAGAATAAAACGTGTTTAAAAATTCTAACCCCCTTCTAAGCACTTGTAATAAATGACTAGAAAACTGAAGATAAAGTTCTGCAAGACATTATAGGATGTGATGACTGTAAGTTTATGGGACCATTATTTTTTTTTTATTTTTATTTTTTTACAGTTTTGGCTGGGGCCAGGCTTGAACCCTTCGCCCCCGGTATAGGGGGCCAGCGCCCTACTCCTTGAGCCACAGGTGCCGCCCCGGGACCATCCATTATTTATTATTTTATTCCTATAGGGTGCTTGGTCACTAGTTAATACGTAGACTCCATCAAAAGGAATTAAAATGTAAATTGACCTGAAAGTGATCCCTTTTACAACTGTAATAACCAATGTTGGGTCTGACTTAGTCCTTACTTTGTGCGATTACTGAAGCCACCTTTCAATGTGGGGGGGGGGTTGGAATGATAGACAGTAAATTCTTGGTTCTCTCTCTCACAGGCTCCTTTTCCTCTCAGTCCACCCCAACTCCTGGACTGCTTCCCGGCCTATGAGAGAGGTGCCAGGTGGAAGTGCTTTCAGTGCCTTCGTGTTGAACTTGGTTGGCAGTTCCGCTAGCGAGTCCAGACATCAGACAATAGGAGGGAGCCCTCTGACCTGGCCTTCACTTCAGTGGCCCTGGCTCTCTCTTTATCTCAGGTCAGAAGAAAATGTGGGGCGTTATGCAATGATCTTATTTAATAGAATTAAAAGAACACAGCCAACAAAAGGAGGGGGAGGAAGCCCTCTTCCATTTTATCTCATTTATAGTAAGTCTGGATTGCAGCAAAGTCACGCACAGGGTGTTCTGAAAGCCACATAATTCCTGGCACATCCTCTCTAAGGTATTCTTGTTGACCAAGTGCGCACGTGTGCATGGGTAATTCTTGTGTGTTTATATGTACATATTTTTTTTTCATTCATTGTCATGATTCTTAACATTTTCAGAATCCACAGCTCATTTTAAAATGTGATGAGATAAGCTGGAGATCCTCCCCTTAGAAAAAGGTATAGAAGTGCAGCCTGTGAGAATCTGCAGTTTCCTGAAAGCCCATTCCTGTCTCAATCAACAGGCCCCTAAGAAACTAAAAGGCTACATTCCTAAAGATTTTGAAATATCATGTATTGTTAATGATCTTGTTCAGCTTATAGATTATGAAACATGATTTTTTTTCCTTAAAATTGAAAACCTGAAGAGTCCTGCCAGTTTCTTATCTACAATACAGACTGGAGATTTCCTAACCCAGGTCGTGTTCTGTACAACTGCTCTTAAGTTTTCATGAGGGGAGAATGTGCACTCAATCATGACATGCACAAACCCCTGATGGGACAGCAGGGATTGTAGGACCATGGGCAGCCACAGCCACAGGGACGGTCCATTTTCAGTTATTCTGGAGTTGTGGGTGTTAATCCCAGAAGTACATCAGCTCATCTTGCCTCTAATGCTGTTATTATTACAGCTGTTAAAAATGTTATTCACACTAGAAGGCCTACTTTACAGCATTCTTCCTCTATGTTTTTTTTTTTTTTCTGAAAGCCATCTATAGAATCAGGTTCTTTTCCCCCCTCTGTCTTTCTGTGCCATTTGCTCGTAGCCATATACTTTAGAGTGCTTATCGAATTCTTGCACGCTTAAGTCACTTGTCTGTGATCCTCTTGTCTCCCTCACTAGAACAGGAGGACTGGAGGAGAACTCTGAATTTCTTGTCTATACTTGGTAATCAATATGAATTTCAGAGGCTAACTGCATAGAGGGACAAAAGACATGAGCTCTACTCCCGGTTCTATTAATTATCTGTTTATTTTCAGGAAAAAAAACACTTGAATTTCCCAAGTATCATTTTTCCTCTTTCTGAAAAGTTGGTATTGATAATAGTACCCACCTCATGGGACTATTGTGAGGATTAAATAATATAAATAATAATATTTAATATTAAAATAAAATATTTACTATTAAATAATAATACATGCCCTAGGATTCATTTAAAACAAAACAAAATAATATATTACCTAACAAGCATTTATCACAGTGTTTGGATCATAGCAAGTATTGAATAAAGGTTAATGATATAGTTTGTTGAATTGAATTTTTTATAAGAAACTTTATCTTTTGGGCATTCCTTAATATAGCTAATAAAAGATAGTATATAGCCAAATATAAAGGCACCATAATTTTTTTTTGACAAAATTGAAATCTTATTTTATTTTCAAGTCTATTTAATCAATTTTTACTTTCAACGGTAAGTCCCAATTTGGCTGATAACAGTTTCAGCTTTTATTCTAGCCAGCCAGGTGACACCGACAGTGTCTTTATGATACCATGTGACACTGGTTTGCCTTTAATGCTGTTCTCCAAACTTAAAGACGTGGATTTCTAGCCTTTAAGAGGTCCTAAGACTGCAGAGCAAGTGACTGATGAGGATGGTATCTTGGATGTGGTTTTTGAGCCCTGTACCCCAGTTCCTTCCTAGTCATTGTCAAAAAAGGATTTACTTTAGATGGGCAAGTTCACGGCTGAATATAAACAATAGCTCACAGAACTGTAGTAACATCTTTAGATATAAGAACAGCACAGGCATTCATTCTTCAGAGAGTTAAAAAAAAGTATTCATATGTGTACCTTTAGCCAGTTCCTCAAATCTCTCTCAAACCGGGATTAAGTTTACTTGAGTTTTGCTCAGTTTGGCATCTGAGTTTAAATAAGTGTTTGAGGGCAGAGGTTGGGTTTTATTCATCTCTGAACGCCTAGATCTTAGTGTGTCAGCTGATAGATGCAATACATAGTTGTTGATTAAAAATATACAAGACTATATGTTGTACTGAAAACCCTATAGAGATTGGTCGTGTTCTTAGAATCTTTATTTTTAATAAAGACATTAAAATAAAAATTATTAAAAATTACTGTACTTTAGAAGTTTGAGTAAAGGAATTCATTTTTCTGAGAAAATCTTTAGTATCTGAGTCAGATAGATTGGAGTATCTTTTTAGAGAGAATCACTTCTTGTTAATTAGCAGTGAGCATTTAACTCTTCACTTATTTTCTTGTTTTTGGCTTTCTTTAACACCTGGCATATTTCTCTTTGACTTTCTGTGTGAATGAGAATTCATTACATGTTTTTATATACTACTACATGGAAAGCACAGTTTTATGACCCTTATTTTTAAGTACAAATTAGTCAATAGCAGTAGATACTTTCTTAAACTACACTGATGGAATTTATTTGGTGTCGAGAAATTAGAATTATATGAGCATTTACATTTATGGGAGTGGACCAAGTAGCCACTCTTGTTAATTGACTTCTGTTGTTTAATAAAAGATGTATGAAAAAGTCAGAATTGAGAGGGATAGAAAACCTATACGGGGGCTCCCAGGATAGTCATTTATTTCTCCCCTAGTTAAATGTATCTTTTCTCAGGCAATAAGTTGAGCTTTTGAGATGGTTTAGAAAATTTAGTTTTTTATTTGCTAGTTTTAGCTCATGATCCAAAGTTATTCTATCCCCTCTACATGGCCACACCTATCCCAGCTCCAGGTGCTGGCTGCCTACCCGAGAGAGCTTAGCACCTATGCCAGGTGGACCCATCAGCCTCATGTGCCAAAAGTTAATTGACTGGGTGAAGAGAGGCTTCTTTTCATGTTACAGTTGTACTTTATCGGAAATGAATGTATCCTCAAGATTCAAAATCTTGTTTAATGCAGTTTTTTTGTGGGGATCTTTCAGGAATTCTTTCAGCGCTCAATTTTTTCAAAAATCAAGATGAACGACTCCATGGTATGATATGATTTTGTTAATGATGGTGGAAGAAACTACATTGAACAAGCTACATCAAAAAGAATTACATTGAAAATTCTTGTAGTGATTCATTTATGATACAGGTAGGGTTTAATACCTGTGACCATGCTGTAAATAAGAATTCTTCAGGCAAACCTATTCATGCTGTAGAACTATATAACAATAACTTTATGATAACAAAATATATTTATTGTCTTTGATAACATACCTCTGACTCATAGGCCAAGAAATCTCAGAGATGGCCCCAGAGACTCAAGTTTGAATTAGGATTGCTCCTGGGAAATATCACAGAAGCCTTACAAGAACTGGCTTCCACTGGCCATTGTATAGAGGATGGTCTCATGGAGACAGATATTCTCAAATAATGAGAGGGTGGGCTCTGAGACCTTGTTTGATTTAGGAAAATCTCAAACCTGGTGTGGAGCAAATTGAATTCCTTGGATATCCTTGTAAATTAATCCAGTCTCCCTTGGGAGATATATTGGGCCTATTTCAAACCCATACTCTTTGAGTGCGGTCTCCGACATCAGGGCTGACCCTGGAGGTTGGTTGTCTCCAAGGGAAGAGTCAGACTTGAGCACTTGGGCACTGGGTCCCTGACAATCGACCGCGCTGTGTCTGGCTCCATGTCGGGATTTCTTACCTGATACAGGTTGGCAAGGTGGTGGTTAGTTTTGATCAAAAAAGGCTGGTTTACCCCTGGGTGGTCCACATCGTGTGCTGCTGCAGCCAGCAGCCCCAGCATGATGTCCAGAGGCGTGAGGAAGCTGGCGAGCTGTTAAAAGATCAAATGAAGAGGTTGATGGGTGTGTTTCCATGAACAGACTTTTATTTGTTTTGGCTCCATCCGACAGAGTGTAGTGTCATGACCACTGTCTGTGCCTCTCAGCTGGACTTTTACCCTCCTAGGCTTTCAATGAGGTGATATTCACATGGGATCTCAGGAAAGAAAGGACAGCTGCTGAGTCAACGCAAACTGTGACGATTTGGGTATCCCTTTCTTCCTGCTGCCCTCTGTTTTGTATCTGCTGTGATCGGATTGCTTGTTGGCAACATTGCTACAGGGTGTGCAGGCAGAAGGCCAATCTGAAACCAGCCTTGCCCCTGGAGAAAGCCGTAAATGAGGGGAAAAATCGAAGCCAAAGTGATGGACTTATTACAAAGATCATTTGCATATTTGTAATCTATCTATCTAATATATCTCTGCCACTTCCTTCAAAGAAGTGGGCTGAATTGTGAAATTCACATAACTCTTCAATGTGTACTGAATAGCGTGGGGAAAGAATCTGTGATGTTTGGGTTAGCTGGGAAAACAAGCAGGAACATGGGAATCCGGAACTAAGTATGAAAATACAACTTGGATAAAACTTACAACTTAACAATATAACTTACAACTTTTGGACTATTTAGAGATTAAAAAATAAAGCCATGCATGTTTTGGGGAGATCTTACATGGATGAGGCATCTACCCAGCTTTGCCCTGAGCATGCCTGTTTGGCATCTGTATATTGTGGTTGCTGTCAAAGCATCTGTATATTTAGTGGGATGTTAGAACGGATTAAATTAGGCAGAGCCTTAGACTGGGATGTCATTTTTCAGCTATCTTAACTCATCCTGCATCTTATATCCACTAAATTTTATACAGCTGAGAACTGCCTAGATATTGAGTAATGAGCATTCTTATTTTGTTTTCAATTTTTAACTTTGGATTGGTTTATTGCCTCGGGGCATGCTCGCTAACACATCTTTGACATTCGCAAGTTTTTGGCCCGGAATCAGGATGTCCAGTTGGCTCAGCAGGAAATGGAACATGAGCCTTGAGGAGTTTTGATTTCATTTCTTTTTTTTTTTTTTTTTTTTTTTTGAGACAGAGCCTCAAGCTGTCCCCCTGGGTAGAGTGCCATGGCATTACAGCTCACAGCAACCTCCAACTCCTGGGCTCAAGCGAGTCTCCTGCCTCCACCTCCCAAGTAGCTGGGACCACAGGCGCCCGCCACAACGGGCTATTTTTTTTTGGTTGCAGCCGTCATTGTTGTTTTGGCGGGTCCGGGCTGGGGATTCGAACCCGCCACCTTAGGTGTACGTGGCTGGCGCCTTAGCCGGTTGAGCTATAGGCGCCGAGCCTTGATTTCATTTCTTGATCAAACAACCTGGGGTGTGAGACTTCTCCCAGTCACGTTCAGTGCTAGTGGTGTTTGTGGCAAAGGTCTAAAGCAAAAGGGCCCGTCCTTGGGATTGTTGGAAATAGCTGAAGTGTAGATTGTCATAGAGAGGGTTGTTCTGTGCTAACACAGCCTCAAAAATATACAAAATATGAAGGAAAACCTCAGACCGTTCACATCTTTTTTTTGTGAATAGCATAAGATTTTCAGAGCTAACCCAGGAACTTTAATAAAAATAATTTGTATTCATAAAGTGAATGACCCATAACATAGTTCCTGAGATAAATGAGTGACTGGGGTCCTAGCAGATACTTTCCTTGGCATTTCCCGATGGCCAAGGAGGCAGCCGGGCATTGTCTTACCTTTGGCTCCTTCAGGTAGCAGTGCATGGCCTGGGTGACATCGGCTGCATGAACGGCATTGTGATACGGGTTTTGGCTGTGGTAATCTTCTTGAACCATGACTAGGAGGTAAATAGATAACTTAGTCGGCTAAAACCCAAACAGGACTGGTACACTTATCCTAGCTCAGACCTGCTGAGAGTTCTTTTTATTTAAAAATATCAGTGGCTCCAAAATATGCAGCCTGGATATCCTTTAAAAATAAACATGGTTTGCAAGCTTGGCAGTTCTACCCGGCTGTTTCTAGTAAAAAGGAGACGCAGAGCAGAGGGGAGCAAGGCTAAAGGATTCATGAGGACTTGGGACGTCTCACCTTCTTCATAGTCCCCCTCACTGACATGCACGAGGCTGTCAGTCACAGGGAAAATAAAGATGCAGGAGCAGGACGACTTCATCTCACACTGCAGTTTCCTTAAATTTGCTGCCATTTATGAACGATCCTCCATAAGGGAGGTTTCCTCTCCAAAAGTAACGTCGGACTACTGATAGCCGAAGTTGGGTTTATCATTTAAATAACAAATACTGACCAAAGCAAGTCTAGGGGCTTTTTGGACAGAAATTCAGAGTACTGCATCAATCCAGCTGAGAACTCCTTGGATGTATTTCAACTTTATTCAAGTTAAGGTACCATCTTTCATGTTCCTCTAGTCTAACACAAGACTTTGCTCTTGGAACGAGGTAGAGGCACAGGCAATTTTGGTTTGCTATTTAGGGAAGACACTAGCCTGCTTCAGCTTTTGACCCAGGCAAAGCTTAGAATGCCATGTGTATAGAAAGCTCAGATTCTACATTCTTTCACCCCCTGTTATCAATCTGGATCTGGATCCTGATGTTAATTCTGTTGTCAATTCTGCATTCTTTACATATTCTCTAGGTATGTACACATGTCCAAAGTGTCTGAATCTGTACTTTTCTCTTTAGACAAATCGAAAATATTTGGCCCTATTCATGGCCATTACTTTCCTTGATCAATGAAAATACAATTGGCTAGGTACTATTTGTGCTTCTGGATATGAGCCATGTTGTGGCTGGTTTCAAATATTTCTGTTGTGTTGCATATGCCTTTTAATTGGCAGGTTTAGTTTACAATTATATTTATTTATTTATTTAATTTTTTTTTTTTGAGACAGAGCCTCAAGCTATCCCGTTGGGTGGAGTGCCATGGCATCACAGCTCACAGCAACCTCCAACTCCTGGGCTCAAGCGAGTCTCCTGCCTCAGCCTCCCAAGTAGCTGGGCGCCCGCCACAACGCCCGGCCATTTTTTGGTTGCAGCCATCATTGTTGTTTGGTGGGCCCGGGCTGGGGATTCGAACCCGCCACCTTAGGTGTATGTGGCTGGCGCCTTAGCCGCTTGAGCCACAGGCGCGGAGTCTACAATTATATTTAAATCCTGGCTCTATGACTTGTTATCTACTTTGGGCCAGTGACTTAATTGCACATTCCCTCAGTTTTCTTCTTTATAAAGTGGGGATAACAATAACTATGAACTCAAAATGTCACATAAGGATTGAATATGTTAATACATGCCACTCCCTGGGAGACCTTCCAGCAGATGCAAGCCTGGTTGTGGCTGCTGTTATTTTACTCCTAATGGCGTGGAGTCAGATTCCAAATTCAAATTATAGCCACATGGCAACTCAAAGAACTCAGAAACACGCTAAATGGCATCAGACAGTCATGTGGTGATTAGAAATGTGCCCTGGGTAAGTCACTGGCAGATAAGAGTATGCATGAAGTCAAATAAAAACTGGGGCTGCCTTTGGATACAGAGTGATGGTGGGCTTGGGTGGAAAGATGGTGGGCCTGCAAGTCAGGGAGACCTAGGCTTGGACTCAGGTTTTGCCACCTAGAAGCTGTTGGCCTTGAGTATGTAACGAAACCTCTTTGTACCCCTCCTTAACCATGGGTTAAATGGTGAGGATAACATCCAAATTGCAGATTTGTTCAAACAGTTAGAAATAACAGAAATACCCTGCTCATAATGCTGCTATATAAATGGTAGTTTTTTTTTTTAAGTCTAGTGAAGATTTTCAACAACTCACGTTCTGATTGGAATTATTTGAGGCATATCTCACTAGTGGCTTGTTAATATGTGAGCAGATGTGTTTCTTCTTTGACAATTATGTTATCGATAGTGTTCTTTATAGAGATTTTATTGTAAACATGACTACAGTTGGCCCTTGAACAACAGAGTTTTGAACCGTGTGCATCCCCCCGCCAGACAGCAAGAGCTGTCCCTCCTCTTTTTCCTCCTCCTCAGCCTACTCCATGTGAAGGTGATGAAGATGAAGACCTTCTTGATTATTCACTTCCACTTAATGAATAGCAAACATATTTTCTCTTCCTTATAATTTATTTTCTCTACCCTATTTTATCATGAGAATGCAGTATGTAACACATACAACATACATGTTTATTGACTTTTGGTTGTTGGTAAGGCTTTTGGTCAACAGTAGGCTATTAGCAGCAAAGTTTTGGGGAGTCAAAAGTTACACATGGATTTTTGACTGCATGGGGGGGTTGGCACCCTTAACCCCAGAATTGTTCAAGGGCCACTATAATCAAGTAAATAATTTTCCAATGATTTAAGATGGGTAAGCCATATTTTAAAATTAAAGTGAGATTATTTAAGATTAATTTGAAGTCTTTATCCATCACACTGTGGTTCTTGTCACTTTACATTAAAGAGTATTACACATTGCCATTGTTCATGAGAGCAGGGGTAGAAGTGTGGAAAAAAGGACTTACCTAAAAATCTGTGTAAAGTCACCATATCTAAGTTGAAATGGTGAATGAGTCCATGGGAGTTGAAAAGATGGCATAGCAGTGTTACCAGGCTGTTTCCTAAAGGAAAACAGTTACTTGCTTTAGCTCATTTTTATCACCACTAAAATATCAACATTGACAATGAGTTGTCTGTAATACAGTTTCTCTAATGGAATCATTTTTTCCCCCTTTGGATTTGAAATTATGTAATTATGTAGGACATCATTACTATGCTCTGATCCTAGGTTTTTTTCTTATTGTGCACGTAAAATTAGCTCAGAGCTTCTCCTATATGAAAAGCAATGAAAACATTAAGAGTTAGAAGAAATCTGCCTCCTGAGGTGTCAGAGATATACTCATGTGCAGAAGTATATTTTTTGAAAGACATAGATAGCGGCCACTTGAAATGTGCCTCAAGTGACTTCCTCTTGACTCTTCCATTTACAGGACTAGCTAAACTACCATAGTGCTTAATAGTCACAGTCTGTTCTTCCTGTGGAAGATCCGCCAGGAAGAGATTTGACGGTGAGATATTTTAGAACTCAGGTCAGAAGAGGTGCAAAAATGAAGCTATGCTAGCTTACGAGCACTAGGAAATATTGTTTAAGAATGGTCATTTTGAATTTTAAAAGCAAAGACACACATGGATCAATGGAATAGAGTGGAGAACTCAGAATTAAATGCATGTATTTTCTGCCAACTGATTTTTAACAAAGACATCAACAACACACTGGGGGAAACATGGTCTCTTCAAAACATGGTGCTGGGAAACCAGGATATCTACAGGTAGAAGAGTGAAACTAGACCTCTCTCTTTCTCTCATCATCATCTACAAAGACCAACACTAAATGGATTAAAGACTTAACCATTAGACCTAAAATTATAAAGCTACTTGAAGAAAACATAGAGGAAATGAAATTAGTCAGGTGGAAATACAATTGATTTTTCACTCCCAGTTTTGCAGCTATTTATAAGTTTGTTTCAGCATTTCTTTCCTATGTGCAGTATGTATTTAGTACATATGAATTCTCTTTGGAACTAGTAGTATCTTACTGGTCTCTAAGTAATTGAGTTAAATAAAATGTTTGACATGTGTTCCTTTCATATTTCTGTGAGTGTCATGATTCTACTCTCTTTTAAACAAAATGTTTGGCTCGGCGCCTGTGGCTCAAGTGGCTAAGGCGCCAGACACATACAGGTAAGGTAGCGTGTTCGAATCCAGCCTGGGCCCGCCAAACAACAATGATGGCTCCAACCAAAAAAAAAATAGTCAGGCGTTGTGGCGGGTGCCTGTGATCCCAGCTACTTGGCAGGCAGAGGCAGGAGACTTGCTTGAGCCCATGAGTTGGAGG